TTCCTGGGTGTTACCTACCTCTTTGTCATACACCTGAGTATCACTAACAAAAAAGCTGCCTTTGCTCCTCTGTTGTGGTTACCTTACTCTGTTATAAGCAGTTTGGTGTTTAAAAAGCTGAGGTATGGAGCTGAGGTAATGCTGGAGAAAGCTAGTGAGGCAGGTGGCAGAATATAAGAAGGACAAGGTTATTTAATGTAATTTTGCCAAGTTCTGTACCTAGGGACTTCCTTATCTTTGTGATAAAGGCAGGGCTTGCAGCCAAGCTTGCAAGAGCCTCAGATGCACTAGTGCGAGCAAAGGTGTATTTTTGGGGTGCACTACCAGAGGAGAAGACCTTTGCTTGGAGCTTGTGGAGAGGCTCTTGATCCCTCAAGCAAGTGAGCTCCCTCTTCCATGCCACCGCATGAATTTTGGATTCCATCACTGTTGCAAAGGATGATGCTTCTGCCCTCATCCTCCCCTGCTGGCACCTCTTCTGGCTGTAGCAGCAGCTGGGATTTCTGGGCTGGCATTTCTTCTATGGACAGCTGTGCCAGAAGCGGGTATTCCAGGTCTACTCCCTGCTGTGCCAAGGCTGATTGGCTTAATCAGACTATGGTAAACCTGTTGTGAATGTTTCACGCTTCACTGGACTTGCCAATTGTAGCTGCTCTGATGGCACCCCTGCTGCTTGTTTGACTGCCTGATGGCTTCCAGCCAGGGCCCAGGGATGGGAAGTCAAGTTGATTTGCAGCAGTGAAGGTAACTTTAATCTTACCTTTCATTTTGTAGGCATACAGTTAGGGAGTAATGAAATGGATTTCTTTTCCCTCAATATGAAGCCTCTTGGAGAGGAGGAATTGTGACTCCCTGTCATTGGGGCCATCCTGTTTCTGAGCACAAACCCAGTGCACATAATACTTAGTAATGAGTGTGCTGGTGCCACGCTGAGACTGGGCAGGGGATGAGTGCTGGTGAAATTCATTTGAGACCATGCCTGGCTGGTCCACATCTCAAATTATTTCATAGTTGCCTCATTGTTGGATGTGCATCTTCAAGAACAGCAGGGTTGGTTTCCTTGGCCTCACTTGCAGCTGCCGTCATGCTTGACTTGGTGCCATGGGTGCGGAGTCTAGTCCTGAGAGAGTGCTCTGCACTGCCTTCACCCCCAGATTTGCTAGGGAGTTGCAGGTGTCCCCCTTCTCTCGCCACTTGTCTGTTTGGCATCACTTCATTGTGTTCATAATGGGATGTTCTCATCTTCCTTTGCACATTGTTCTCAGGCTGATGGGACTTGGGAATAATGTGCTCAGATGAGCTGGAGTCAGCCAGCCCAGCCAAATTTCTGACAGTGACGAAAGGTCTTCTTATGCTGTCTACCCTGCCAGCAGCTACAGCAGCACAAAGAGAGGGCTGTGTGCTCCAGCCGTCTGTTTGGGTTTGTAAGAGTGGCTTAATGGGAGTGTGTGTGCAGCCAAATGGCTTCTTCAGCAGTGCATAATTAAACCAAAATGTGCGATCAAACCCAAGGCTCGCTGCTGTCCCCCCAGTCTGCTCCTTGCTGTGTCCTCTGTGAAATAGGGGCATTGGGGAGCCCAGACACTTGGGACATTCCAGCATGTATATCATTGATAACTGTCCAACTTCCCTCTCTCCCTGTACTGGATCTTGATGGGTTAATATCACTGTTTTAAGCCCCAACCCCTATAATAATGTCTAAGCCCTGCAACTTGGAGGCTCATCCCAGGGCATTGTCCCCACTTGCTTTGTCACTGTGTGGAGACAGGACACGTGGTGGCTGGGCATGGCCTCAGGTCTGGGTGCTGTGTGGTTATGTTGGCACTGGATCTGAGCTGGGTGGCTTTGGATCAGGATCTGGGAATTGCACCAGGGAAGGTGGTACCCGAGCCTGTATGGGCTTCTTGGCCCAGGCACCGAGCTCCAGAACAACCTGAAAAGGAACCTTCGTCTCTGCTTTACATCTCTTGACATCCAGCAACTTTCAGCTGTAGTCTGTAAGAATGGAGGATCTGAGGAGTTTTTCTTCTTTGTTTGGACACCCAAGGACTACTTTCAGCAGATCTCTGGAGTAACAACTAGGAGAAGCAGGCCCATCTGTGCAACACAACAGTATACAGATTTGGACCTATTATTTTGAGTCCATGCTTTCTTTAGGAAGTTTCTAGTGGCCCCTCAATCCAAAAGGGTTAAACAATCCTTGCTGTATTGTAGGAATAAACCTCACTGAAGAGATCAGACTTTCCTGAGGTTGGTGCAAAACTTGTCAAAAGACAAGCAGCAGTGTCCTACCACGGCCCTCCCACTTTCTCGACAGGCGTGTTTCTGTCAACATGGTTTTTCCCAAACAAACAGTGTGTGTGTATGGGTGTGGGTAGAATGGAGTAAAAAAAAAAAAAAAAAAGGCAAAACCGTGAACTCCTCCTGTGCACATGTGCCTTTCTGGGGAGGATGGAGCAAAGGTCTGCAAGCACAAGCAGCAGCATGAATTACAAGGCAGAGCTCTCAAATACCACAGGGATCAAGGCGATGTGTAAGCCTGTGCAGAAAGGAGTTGAGAAGGGCTAGGATGCAGTTCTGTAAGCATTTCTTACAGCAGTGATCTTTATGCAAAAGAAAATGTAGCTCTGAAATGTTCATCCTTGCTCCTGTGCTGCCTGCCTTGTCTTGCTAGTGCAGCTGTTTGGGCAACTGTGTAGTGGACCTATTGCCGTTAAAAATAAAACTTCCCTCCCATTCTCTCTTGTTGGTTTTTGTTTTGTTTTGTTTTTGGTTTTGGTTTTTTTTGACAGTCAAGAGCAAGTGCTGCTTCCTGAGTACATAATGGTAATAGCATAACCCTAGATTTGGGCAGACTGTGGCTCTGTGTTGAGGTGTCTGCTTAACTCCAAACTGATAGTAGTTCTTAAACCTCCGGGTTGGATATCCCTTTCCAGTAGGCCAGATGATGCTTCTTGTAAGCAGAAGGTGGTTATTCCACAGTCATTCTAGGAAGCTGAAGTAGTATTAGGGACCACAGAAATCAAGTCTCTGTGGCCAAGATTCCCTTGCCCTATCCCATAAAAGTATGTTTGTGACTGCCAGGCACCCTGGGTTTGTCACCTGAATAGAGCTGTTGCCTGCAACACAGCTGTGGCATTTCCAGATCTGTGGCTGAAGGCAACGTTTCTTTCTTTGTACACAAATGCCCACTTGGAAGCATTTCAGTGCTATTTAGTGTTTCATATAGTCTTTCCTTTTTTAAAAGAGGGTGCAATAAAAAAAAAGAGGCAAAACTAAAACCTTAATTACACAATCCAGAATTGTACATGCTTAAAGTGAGCTACTTTGGGATCATATAACAATAATGTTTGTCCTCATCTCCACCCTGCTGCTTGTCAGTGTTCTTCCCTGGAGCACTTCCCTGGAGGCTGTTAGGAGCTCTTGTCATCTCTAAAACACCCTTCAATAAAGAAAGACTCAACAAAAAATTCCATTGAATATGATAAAACATTTATCTGACCTCTTAGTACACACAAATCAAAAGTCTTCATGATATTTTGTGAAGAAGCCTGGGTGCAGAGGAGTGTCTTAATGCTTCTCTAGCAGAACATATTTGTGTGTGAGAAGAGGGAAGGCTTGTGGTTCAGGAAAATGTGGCTACCTTCTCATTTCCTTTTCTTTTCCACCCTTTGCAGTAATGGAAATATTTTCTCTTTTCTGTCTCTGAACCCTTTCTTAAACAGAATCCTCGTAAATTCCCCTTGTATTTTTGATACATTGTGGGGGTTTTGGGGTTATTTTCATTTTATCTTTTAGGCTGTGGCTGTGCTCTGCTAAAGAGAAACCTTGGTCTTCCCCAGAGGTTTGCCCATGGAGCACTGCAGCAGGGGTTTGTACTTCCCACTGCGGCTTCGGAAGCACCTTGTAGTCCTGATTTGTGACCTGTGTTCCAAGTGGGAGGTATTCCTCTCTCGGATCCTGTTAAGCTTCTTAACTTGTCATATTGAGGGAAAAAATAAGTGACAGACTCCTCCAGTATAGATTTTTTCAGTGCCACTGCCTTAAAGCAGGCAGAAGCCCCATGTGAAATGGGGCCCCATCCTGCAGTTTGGGGGCACAGGTTGTCCTTGGATGACAGAGGAGCTGATGTGTACCTAGAACCAAAAGGCTGAACCAGATGCTGTATGTCTGTCCCTGCCACACTATGTGACTTGAGTTTTGTTGCCCCCCTACCTATCATAAGTTAAAAATACACACTGGTGTTTTCTGCGGTGTAGGTAGAGCATTCCTTTTTAAAAGTTCAAGCGTGCAAGTGATAGGCATTGGCAAAAATCTGCTGCTTTCAGACTGGCGCCAAAGGGAGTTTGTCCTTTTCCTATTTTTCTTGTCTCTACGTCATTTGCAACATCTTTTTAAGAAGCTGTACTTATTACTGCCTGTAACACTGTGGTTGACCCCATATCTGGGTCCTAGGTACAAATACAGCATCTGCACTTAAAAAGTCGATGAAGCTTACAAGAAACATTTATAAAATGATGCCTGAACTGGTAGAAACGCCTTGCAGGGAGAGCCATGGAGCTCAGTCTGCTCAGCTCCAGAGGGGTGGCAGTGTGCATGTACCCTTTGTGCCATGAAAATACTGTTCCCAGACCCCTTAATCTGGCAAAGAAAGTCATAGTAATCACAAACACTTGCCCTTGTTTTCAGTTGAACACAGTCAGCATGGGTATGAATTTGAATGGAATACAGGTTTGTACACTAGATCTGATCTAGGGGTGGCATGGGCAGTTCTGTTCTTGAAGTGGAGGGGAGAGTGAAGAAGGCTTTTTATGCCAACAGGGACAAAAAGTAAGTGCATTCAAAAATAGACATGAGTGCAGGAGGGGGGAAAAACACAAGTCCAGGAAGTGTGTCGGAAGTCTGTATGTTTGTTCCCCTTGCTCCTATAGCTCTTTTGATGCGTTTTTGGATTTTTTTTCCTCTGATACTAATTCTCTTTACTTTGTTTCCCTGTTCAGTGTGTCGAGACTTCGCTATTCTAGAAGATCATACCTTGGCCCATAACTTACAGGAACAAGAGAGTAAGTGGCAATGATGTTTAGAACAAACTGAAGCAAACTTGTCCCAACAGATACCTGGCTTTATTTGATTTTGCTAAGAGAAATGCATTCTGCGTTTATTCAATTTTTATTCTTTTTAATGGAATACAGTTTATTATTGCTGTCTTGGCTATCCTGTAACACTACACTGCCTTCTGCTCCAGCTCACATTGTACCCTAGAGATAGCTGCATTTCATATTTCAATTTTGTGCTCACCTTTAGAGTTGAGTTTGTTTATGCCATTTGTGATAAAATTGTATGTAGGAGTGCACTTGAGGTTTTGTTGCTGTGCAAGGATTTTAGAAATGACTAGCAATTTTGAAAGCTTCGAGTTTTGTAGACTGACCTGTAGTACAACCAGAAGAGGTCTGTTTGTTTACTTATTTCAGAATTGCCTGTGTCTGCCTTTTGAAAAGAGGATTCCTTTTCAGACATTTTGAGATAGGGCAGCTGTACCCTAGAAGGGTTTAAAAAGGAGAAAAAGAAGTACAGCTGGGAAGTTCAAAGTGACTGGTGCTTTTTTTTTTATTATTTTTAATTATTTTTATGTACTTTTCTGTTTCTTTGGGTATGTTTACATTGCAGTTTCAGGTGTGATGGCCTCTCTAATCAGCTTCTCACCAATTTGGTGTCTGCCAGCACTGGATGCAAATGACATTCCGGCTGCTCCACCGAGGGTGCAGCTGCTTGTGCCCTGGAACCTGAGATCACTGAATTAAAGACAACTCTCTGCTGCAGCTCACATAGCCATTTTTTCTTGCAGGCAATAACCATGTATGGTAAAGGACTCACTGTAGTACTCTGTTGCTCTGTTGCTAAATATAAAGGTAGTGAGATTTTTGGAACCAATTATGCTGGGAGTGAGAGGAGTTTCCTTCTCTAGAGGTTCTTGAGAACAAATTAGGGAAGCATCTATCATAAATGCTAAAGGTTCAGCTCATCCTCACTGGCCTCTGGTGGTCCTTTCCAGACCCACTTCATTCACTTAAGATGATTTCCCATGGTCAAAATGAAATTCAAGTCCTAAAAAACATTCTGTATAAACATGGATGTGTTAAGATATGCAGATCTTAATTTGGTAACAGAGACACGTATACAGCCCCCTCAGTGCTAAAACAAGGCAGTCTCAAGCTGTTAGTGTAATTTCAGTTCAGGACTTTCCCACCTTTAATGATATTGCCTGGTGTTCCCCTGCCAAGATCTGTCTTCCTCTCTGTCCTGGAATCTCCCTCCCACTCGATGTATCTTTTTCTCACAGTGAAGTTCTGCAGCCTGATTTGAGGGTTCTTGTCTGTGTTTGTTTCCAGTTGAGCATCACTTGGCTACAAATGTTCAGCGTAATCGTCTGGTGCAACATGACTTGCAGATGGCCAAGCAACTGCAAGAAGAGGAGGATAAGAAAGCACGTGCTCAGATCCAGAAACACCAAAAAGACTTGTGAGTTTGTGATGAAGCTGTTGGAATGGGAGTGCTAGTTCCATTTGGTCAGCGCACTGAAATCAGCTGCTTTGATTTGACAGTACAAAGGGTTCAGATTTTGCTTTTGTTTCCTTTTCTCTTTGGCTGTCCATTGCTGTAAAAATATAGGCTCTGGCACAGGGTAATGAGAATGGGGTGGAAGTAGGTGGTCCTGGGGCCCATCCTGGCTTGTATTCTGTTGCCTGTCCATGAGAAGGGGCCTTCCTGTTGTAGTGCTTGTTGGCAAAATGGAGTAACTTGGCCACTTGTGTTGCCCTAGTGCCTGGCTGAAGTCTGAGAAAGAGGGAACCGTGCCATAAAAATAGAATATTACAGTGCATTCTCTTTCTTGTGTAAATTGCAGATATTGGTGTGCTTGCACTGATGCCTGGTGAGTGCTTTGGAGGAGCTGGGTATGATGCTCCTTGGTGTCATGCTGCACTGAAAGGTGAAAGCCTGTGCTGTGCTTGTGGATAGTCAGTGTGAAGTGACCTGGAAGGGGAAACTGCTGCCTCAGGGTCACTTGGTGCGGATAGGTGTTGGGGACAGGCCTTCTTTTGCAGTCACTGACTTCTGGAGCAGCTGTGGGAGGGTGTTTAATGAGTGATGCAGTTTGCTCTGCAGGTTTGCTCGGTGCCCACACAGCATATCGAACCCTGTGACCCGTAGTTTGGCTTGTGTGCCATTACTCTCAGCTGTGGAGGTGGTGTGGAAATGGAACATGGCAGCGCAGCACAAAACAAACTGTACTTTCCAATCCCGGGTGGACTTGTAATGCATAAGATGTAACAAATGATTTGTGTGACAAATCTCAGCCAGATCGTGGTAATGAGAGATGGCAGGATGGGGGTCACTGCAAATGCAGGGCCTGCAAGGCAGGATGCATCTCCCAGCAGCTGTGCTGCCTCCAGGCTTGTGCTGTGCTGTGGGATGCCACCCACCAGGTACAGCTGGCGGTGGATCACAAAGCCTGGGTGGCTCGTCTGGCAGGGACAGCAACGGAGCAGAAGAGCTCTGTGTTGCAGATGTGCTAGATACAGGACTGGCTTCAAGGCTGTGGTTCATAAAAGCTTTGAAGCTGGGGCGTAACAGATCAGCCACTGTTTTCAGTGTTCCCAGCACACTGAGGCAGCTCTGGGTCTACTAGATACATATGTATCTTTCAAGTCTGTGGGTTTTTTTCCAATAGCTTTGTCTTTATTACCAATTAGAGATATGAGTGTGTAAATGGCAACATAAAAATTAATTTTGTATGGCAGAGGTGATTTCATCTTTGTTACTTTCTGGGAGCTGCAAATGATTTTCTTCTTGTAGGACTCTGTAAAATGGGATTTACGAACTTTGTGAGCCAAGGCACAGGCAAAACTGCTGATGCAAAATGTTGTGTCAGCAGCAGTTCTGTTGCTGGAAACATGAGCTCCTCTGCAAGAAAAGTAAAAGATGAAGGCATCCTTTTGTAATTGGATCTTTTTCTTCCTCAATTCTTTGTTTGTTCCCGCTCCTCCTTGTCCAAGAGTAGCATATTCTGACAACGAAATAATCCTCGCTGTTGATGCTTTTTGTATTGTGTAGATCAGTTTGACACTGCGAGGTGATGGGAGAAGTGAAGGCGCAGAACTAGGGGGTCTTTATAAACAGGAAACATAAAAAAGCTCTTCAAATTTGTGGGCTTTCTTCTGTCTTTCAAATCCTAAATTCTCTCAAAGATTTTGTGAAGATAAATGAGAGAATAGAAAGAGGATTTTTCTTTTGAAGAATTCAGGGAAGCATAAACCTTGTTTTCATGCTGCTTTAAAAGCATCTCTCACATCTAACTGAGCAGCCTGCACACTGCTAAGTGTAGTAGCAAGATGACTAAAATAAAATAGTGTGAAAATGTGTCCTTTCCCTGTTTTTCCTTTCCGTGCTGTGGTGATTCTGTTGTATTGATGTAAACTAGTTCCTTTGAACAATTCCCTTAAACATTTCATTTTTTTTCCTCATCTGGCAACAGCTAGTAGCTACAATCAGTGTCAATCGTAGGGAGCTTTCCAATCACACAGACTTTTGGGGGTTTTTTCCTCTTCTTTGTAATAAACTGATGTAGAGTTTTCTCTAGACTTTTAACACTCTTGCAGCCCAGGAAGGAAGGGCACACAGGTGGGATGTTCAGGAAGGATGATGTTTATGTTGCTCTGGCTGATATCCAGGGTCTGATGGCCACTTGAACTCACACTAAAGAAACAGAAGGACAAGAAGAGCTGTCAAAGTTCTTTGACCTATTTTCTTATTCCCACTCAAGTTAAAACACTAGCTTATGTTGATTAACTAATCAAGTCTCAGTATTTTCTTACCGCTGAGCAATAAACCCCAAAACCTAATCCTCTGTTGTTGTTCAGTTCTAAGAAATTGATACAGTGTATTCCAAGATGTGTGTCATCAGGAACGAGAAAATGCTTCCATTTGCATTACTTCTCCTGTTATTTGCTGCAAATGGAGAGGCAATGACCTTGTTGCCTTGGCTCTGAAAGATGATTAGCTGTTTCTCTGTCCTGTTTGTCTGTAATAAGATGTATTTTAAGTATTTAGCAAGTCAGTTTGTGCTGATGAAATTGACACTTTAGCTCTGCTCACAGGTGCCAGGGGAACTGGAGACGTGTAATGCCTTGATGTGTCTGACCTTTCTAACTTACTTTCTACCTGGATTCACGTCCTCAGAGACTGAGGTCATAAGGGATTCACTATCAGGCCTACTGGCAGCCTGCCCCCTAGGATTTGCTTATTCATCTATTGTTTTGCTGGGGGCTGTGGTTCTTTGCTGAGTGCCAGATTTGCCAAGGTCCCTTTATATAAAGGCAGACTCAAGAATTAGAGTTGCTGCTGTGTGAACTCTTGTGCCTTTGAACGGGTCTCCTCCCAGAGTCAAATGAAACACACATAGGCACATGCTAAAAATACCAGGTTTCATTACCTGGATGAAAGAAACCGCTGTCCTGAGATGTTTGACCTGTTCATAGTTCCAGCCTGATTGTAGGTCTGCTTCCAAGGAGCAGTTGATGGAAATAAAGAAGCTACTTGTCCCTCCTACTGCATGTACCTTTTTGTTCCTTATGACAGATGAGTTGTTTCTTGGTGACATTTATCCTCTCAACCCTCTTGTTGCAATGTCTTTCTTCCCCACCCTAAGCCACATATCCACCTTTTCCACTTCTCTCATTCCTCACTTTCTGTAAAAGAAGGCTCTGTGGTCCCACTGACTGCTCCAGCTATGCCACATTTCTTGATTTTTGAACCTAAAGTGCTTGTCTGCACTTGAAACTATTTTAACTTCCTCTGCTCATGTTCTAGACTCTACTCCAGTCCTTAACTTCCAAGTTCGTTAGGTCATTTCTGCCCAGATCCTTGCTCAAACCTAGAACTAGTTGCTCCATCCCACACAGCACAACTTTGACACAGCGCAACCTGCTTCTCTTGAATTATTTGCTTGTCTTCCATAATATGCTCTTGGTAGTCTTCCCATCACCTATCTGATCATTGCCAGTGTGTTCTTCAAAAGACTATATTGTAATAAAGCAGGCTCTGCCAGTTGCTGTTCCCATTCTTGTCTCCTTCTGTGCCTTGCCTTTCAGTAGTTACAGTTGCAGGGATTGATTTTTCTGACCTGTTTGGAGCTACTCTTTAGATCAATTTCAACAGTGCTGAAAGATAGAGCTTTTAATCTTTCTTCTCAAATCCCCCAGCCCTTTTCTGAGTTGCCCTAAGGAATATTTTGGCCATCGTTCCAGCCTGTTTGCTGAACATCAGAGCATGCTGCACTGTTCTTGCAGATGCTTTTGGTGTGATGCCCCTGAAATACAGCCTTTTAGGTCTGTCTGCACAGCCGGAACTCTCCTGTCTCGTTTACTCTGGTATCTCTTTCCCCAGTTAATGCAATCTTGTGTTCCCGCATCCGCACTGGCGGGGTGGCCGTGGTTCCCTCCCCCCTCATTCTGACGCACGTCGCTCCCTCGCCTCTTGGCAGTGGTTCTGCTTTTGTGTCTCATCCCACCTCAGCTGCATTTCTCATCGTTACTGAACTGCCACCTCCAGCCTCCACTCGGCCTATGTACTGCATTCCTGCACTTTTTTCCTCTTGGCTTTCACTTAAAAACCACTTCCCAGGTACACCTGCGTTAACTGTACCCCTGAACCCCTCCTTTGATACCACACGTACAGAAACTCAGCAGAATTAAACTGTTTGCAGACTCCTAAGTGCTACCTTGGCCTGGCCTATTTTGTGATGCCTACCTCCTTTCTTAGCAAACTGCCTTTTACTTTGTACTATTTGAAGGTTTTGGGAAGTATTTTCTAGATTTGGTTAACAGTAGGTAGAGGGAATCCTGGTCCTTGGTGAGGATTCATAGGCTCTGCACTAACACTGAGTAATAATTCTTTTGTGTAAATCAAATGGATTTTTTTTTTTTTTAGCTCTTTTATCGCTTTCTCCAGGCTGAGTGATGCCTGCGGCTTCAGCTGCCTATAATCCTTGTCTCCTTACCTTCTAGGGAACGACAGGACTGTGAGATCGCTCAGGAAATCCAAGTGAAGCTCGCGTTTGAAGCAGAGGAGCGCCGCAGGCAAGAGGAAAAAGATGAGGTAACCTTTAAAGCTGCAGGGATGGCAGGGCTATTTGTAGCAGTCCTTTCAGGTCAGGCATATCTTGGCCAGTAGCCACAGGAGTTGGCTTGCACGGTGGCAATCCTCGTCCTCACAGATCTCTGTATGCACAGTAATTTTTAGGGAGTCCTGTTACAGGAATAAGATACAGTCATAGTCCTCACACTCAAGGCTCACAAGGATTGTTGGTGCCAGTGGCTTTGCTAATGAAGAAGACAAGTAATAGGTAGGTCTTGTTGAGGTGTTCATTGCCCTGGTGCAGGAAGCAGTAATTTTTTATGCACTCTGAGACCTGCTTGCTTTCTCAAATGAAGAAGATAGGTACTACTTTTGGGAGAATCCTGGGTCATGATTTTTTTGTCTTTGTTGCAAAGATTTCAGAAGGGACTCTTAGCCCAGCCATCCACTTCTGGCTTCTCACTTCTTCAATTTAGTCTTTCACAGCCTGAACACCCTGTTGTAGTTTCTTGCTAGCAGATTCCTTTTGTGATTTCAGAATATTACTCTTCTGCTGTTGAGAGTGGGCAGTGTGGTTTGTTGATGGTATTCGAAGGATTTGGCTTGTTGATCACCTTATTGGGTAAGCCTGTCAGACTGGGTTTTCAGGAAGCCCACAGAGTAGAAGAACATCTGTGTGAGCCTTGAGCGAGCCCCCTTTCTTTATTACAGATGGTTTCCTGAGAAGTCTGAGTAGTCTTAAGATGGTGGCATTTTCTGTATAGGAAGAGCTTGGAAACACAAAGCTGTGTTTCCTGGAAGAGCCTGAAGTAAGAATCTGTCCTTACCTGACAGATGCATTAGTTTACCTGGGCAAGGCTTAATTTTATTCTTGAACCACTAATTCCAAGCAAATACTGAAAGGCTGCCCAGACATATGTGGAAGGTCTTGGCTTCCAGGGGGAACCTGTGGTAACGGGGTGGGAGGAACACTTAGGTCAAAGAATTTGTGCTGTAAAGGTGACAAATATGTCTTATTTTCATCAGAAAGGCGAAGGAGATGCAAAACTAATGTAAGTTTGGGGAATTATAGCTCTCCTTGCTGCTTTATGTAGAGAGCAGGGGTGTCAGTGGTCTGACAACAGGTCCTTGCAACTTGTCAACCTGCTGACCATCTTGTGCTGTTGGGAGCAGTCTTCAGATGACTGTGGATTAAAGCAATGAGAACTCATAAATATTCTTTCTCTTCGTGCTGGGATATGGGAAGTTCCCAAGTGTGGCTGAAATGTAGCTGTGGACTGAGGCAGATCTTGTCTGAACTGCAGGGTTTTCAAATGAAGCTCTAAGCCTGCCTGCTTATGAATCCCTTTTGCAAGAAGTGGTTTGCGTGGATTTGCAAGTCCTGAGCTGTGTCAGTCCTGGAGATAATGTGCTTAAGCGTATATATTTATAGATTTACTGTACTTGCTAGAAGAGGTTAACCTTGTCAGGAGAAAGAGGTTTTGGTTTGGCTGTTTTGTTTTTTTTCCTAAAGAATCTGTGGCATCCCCAGGTCCTCCAAAAAGCTGGTTATGGAGCAGATCATACCTGAATCCTGAAATAATAGTTTGTACTTGAACAGCCATTCAATATCTTCCAGTGCAGGCTTTGCTCTGGAGGGTGTTGACTCCTAGTTTGCATTTCAGTGATGCCTTTCCTGCCTGCAGTGTCCACTTTATATGCATGGCTCTGTAAAGGTTCTGAGGATTAGGAAGGCTTAAATGAATAGCATCCAAAGGGCTAGCATGCCACGCTGGTATCTGCCAGCTTTGCTTCCTGGCTTCAGACTGGCTCCGCTGATTTGCAAGCTTCTGGACCCCAGATGAGCAACCCCCAGGGAACTGTTTGTGGTTCCTAGGCCTTGTTGATCCATTAGTCATCTCGAAGGAAAACCAATTAGGAAAATGGAGTGCTCGTCTCTTTGGCGTATCTACCAAAACTGTGTCAGAAGACAAATGGCTGCAGTCCCCACTGAGCTCTTGCCTTGTGCCTGGCTCGCTCTTCCTAATGTCCCTTCGATTTTCTTTTCCTTCACTCTCTGTCTGTCAAACTGATGCATTTCCCTGGCTGGCATCCTACAGTTCCTGCAAATTACCACTGGTGTGAAATGAGTTCATGACTTACTCTGGAAACTCTTTCCAGTCAGAAGTGCCTTCAACTGGAGACAGCCTTAGCCTCTGTTTTTCTTTCCCTGGCAGAGTGCAGGGGGCAGATCCAGCCCACTCCTGTAAGTGGGTGTGCACTTCTCTGACTTCCAAATCCTAGTCGAAAGCCTGAGGTTGCACACAAAGTCCCTTTTGCCCTGCTTTGACCATTAGGGCTTTGCAGGCTTGTGTGCAGGAAGAACAGGAACCTGTGAGTCTGCCATGGCGTTGGAATTTCCATGGTGGGTCTGGGTCCATGAAGTTGAAAGCCCTATCCCACTTACAGGTTGAATTTGATCAACTGCTGTTGTCATGTCTGAAAAATTAAACTATCGGGATTTTAATAATTGAATAAAGAATTTGAATAAAAGAATCTGGAGATATTTTTAGTGGTGATTTTGTGTCCGTTTTCTTCCATCCCTGCAGGACATTGCGCGTCTCCTACAACAGAAAGAACTGCAGGAAGAAAAGAGGCGCAAGAAGCACTACCCAGAATCCCAGGGCTATGAGGAAAGCTATTATGCAGAAAATGGAGGTAGGTTTCTACTAGATGTCATGACAGTATAGGGTGAATCTGGTGATCTGGCAACTCCATCTAGGAACTTTCCTTTATCCTACAGTCCTGTGTTGAGCGCTGTAGCATTATATCGGTTTCAAGGGTCAGAATCATTGTATTCTATAATTAGGAAATATTTAATTAAAAAAAAAAGGACAGTTTTATAATTTTTGTTGTCCTAGAAAAGGGCTTGGAGGACAGGGGTAGGGTGTGTGGTGTGTGCATGTGCAAGTACAGCCATGCATGTATGTTTTAAAAGGGCTTGTGGAAAATTTAGACAGTAGCTGATAATCCACAGTTACCGCTGTGTAACACCCAGTGTGCGGGGGAGGAATGTCGATGCAATTCCATGCTTGCATTTGAAGAGAAACAGTTCTGTGTGCTCATTTGTGATGCTGGCACAGCTACATAAAGGAATAAATGCTGCTTCATGGAACCGTGTTTCAGAAATAGCTCCTTGCAGGTACGTATCCAAGCAGTAAAATTAGCACAACCGCTTTGAATGACTTACTGAAGAACAAGGTCATCTCCACAGAGTGTCTCTGCTGTGATTATCACCTGGGACTGTACATTGTGGAAATTATATGAACCACAGTGCTGTATTGCTTTCTTTTGGTCAGCGTTTGTGATTGAATACAGACCTTCTTTAAACTCGGAGGAGACAATCAGGGTGTGTTTAATTATGGAGCAATCTGGGAATGGCTTTGCTGTGCACTGGTGGTGGTTCCTGTGTTCTTCCTTCAAAAATGTGGTGGGAAAGATGGGTTGCTTTTGATTAACAGATTGTGAAGATGAAGATCAAACTTCTTACTTCTCATTTTAACATCAATGCCATTGGCAGTTTTCAAGTCTTGCATTTGAACTTACACAAGTTAGTTTCAATTTGGAAGACATTCAGAAATAGACAAGGAAATACAAAGCAGTAAGTGCAAAGCAGTAACCACATGGAAACTTCAGGACCACAAGTCCTGCAACATGTACGGAGCTGGGAAAAAAAAGCATCTTGGAGTTCTTATGGCCAACCCACACTTCAGGTTTTCATAATTAAATGGGACAAGTCTCTGAAAAAATACAATGTAGGTAATACTGTTGCCACGCAGAGATGGTAAGACAGGATGGATTTTTATGACAAATCAGCTGACAAAAATTTATCCACATCCTGAAGTCACGTGGGCTATTGCTCCAAAGCAGTCTAAGCTCTTTAAAAGTGGAAAACTAAACATGAAAAAAAAGGTAGTGTTCCTTCCAGAAGTGTCTGTGCCATGAAAAACATTTTTGTATTCACTCAGTCACTTGCTGCTCGAGAGAGTAACACCAGGATCTAGAGAGTGTTTACATAGCCCCTTGGGAAGCTGCTGCAGGACCCAGCACCTGCTGATGAGTTAAACACCCTGAGATACCCCAAAAACAAGTCTTTTGCTTGGGTTGTCTGGCATGGTTGTGTTACCTGCAGCAGTCCTTTCCCAGTGTAGCCATGCCTTGCTCTTTCGTGTTTTCTGCTGTCTGCTGCTGTATTTATTGAGCTTTCCTTAATGACAAAATTGAATTAATTCGTAGACCTTTGTTAGTATTGTTCAAAACCTGGCTCTTGCTTTCAGGCTCTGTTCTCCGTTGTTCAGTAAGTCAGATTGTTTTATTGGATATTTGTTTTTTTGTAAATCATATGAATGATCTAACGCTGCATGGGAAAAAAACAAGTTAAAAAACCAAACATAGCAGTTCCTGTTACAGTTTTTGGACTTCTAAAAATACACCTGCTCTGGATACAAGTCATACAGATTTGTTTTCAAGGTGGATTTTCTGTAGGCTGTATTTTTGCTGGCTCTGAAAAAGTTTTTTCTGAGTAGAATGACTTGAAGGAAACATTCAGTTTTGGTGTGGGTTTTGTTTTTTCTTCCCCTGAAATCTAGAAGGATTGTAAGGGCTGTAGACTATTTATTAAAACAGAATGTAGTTCATGTGCAGTGAAATCTATTTTAAATATTTTTAGATACTATAAAGGAAACATCTTGGCAGTTGAGGAAAGTCTGCTGCTGCAGGGTTTTAGTCTATTTTTTGGGCGGGGGTTTATCTGTGTAGTTCTGTTTCAAATCAGACTCTGCTTTAAGGCCTCTTTTCTCATTTTGAAAAGTCGCTGTAGAGAGATTATAGTTCACTCAGTGCAATGATTTTTCTTAGCAAATTGGTTGATAGGAAAATAAATGAATTAGTAGATTGTAAAGAGGTAGACTTGCATCCTCCTACCTGTTTCAAGTTTATTACTGAAACTAAGAGCAAAGAAAATTTCTACCTGTTTTCTGGAAAGCACAGAGGAAACAACCCCACCAAACTGCCAAGTAAGCAGCTTTTCTAGCTACATTGCTGAGGTCAGTTGCCTCTGTTTTGTGAAATCTTATACTGCCCTTAAATTTCCATAACCTTGTCTGTATTCAGAGCTGAAATGTTTACTTAGTACAGAAGAGCAGGACCTTCTAGGGTCTGCAAGAAGAAACTTCTGGGTCTGCAAGAGATATATGACAGTCTGTGGTGGAAGTTGTTTGGATGCGGCAGCTATCCATCATCCTGTTGCTTTTAAAGAAACAAAAATCCTATCTCTCGTCTCCTTTTCTGCTTTATGTGGGTCTTCCCCCCCATTAGGTGAAACTAATAAAAAAACTGTGCCTGAAGCCAGGGCAGGGCACCAGTGCTTATAAACCGGGATTCAGCCTGACCACTCTGCTTGGTCCCTCCTGGCATTACACCCCCTCTTGCCTCCCAACCCTACCTGCATCTTGTGCCCTTCTCTGCAAGCCTTTCTCAGGTGGTTTCAAGATCCTGCAGCAGTGATGTGTCATCAGGATATGAAGTGCTCTCTTGGCTGTTTTTCAGCCCCAGTTGCATCGTTAAAAGTCATTTGTCTCTATATTGGCTTGTCCTTGTCTAGGAGGTGCTCAGATACTTTCAGGCTGGACTTGTGCTTTCTGCTCCAGCCTTGTTGCCTCCTGTACTGCCCTGCTGCCATTTCACTCTGCCCCCTGTTGTAGCCTGCGAGCATTATCTGTCCCTCTTATTTTTTCTGATCCCATCAGGCTTTGCCTGCATTTTTGGCTTCTTGTATCAAGCACCCTCATCTGCCTGCTGCGAGTCTGGCCTCAGAACTACCATTAACCCCTGCACCACTAACCCGCTCGTTGTTTGTCCCCCCATTGCTCAGAGCACCCCTGGCGTGACCCCAGAGAGCAGTTTTCTGAGCCTCACAGGGCACACAGTCATGACAGGCGCAGGCACCACCAGAGAGAGCACAGAGGACCTCCCTCGCCTTTGGCTGACGGTGCCTCCAAACACGGGCACTCCACCTCGGAGGATCGTCGGAGGTCTCCTTACCTGAGAGAGACCAGCAGTGGCCATCAGCAGGAGCAAAAAACAGCCAGCCCGGGAAGGTCCCGGAGACATCCTAGCCTTGATCTGGAAAGAGAGGCTGAGCATGGTGCCTGCGATCACAGCCGTAGCTGGGAGCTCCGGGAGAGGAGGACAGCTGGCCGGGAGAAGGGTAGGAGACCTCTCAGTCTTGACCTGGAGTCAGAGCACAGACTTGCGGATGAGGCACAGCACAGGAGAAAGCCACCAAGGCAAGACAGAGAAAAGCACCTTCCACTTCTTGAGTTGGAACTGGAGGCTGAGCAGGAAACCTGGCATCAGGGCGGCGGCCGGGTGGTGCGCCCTGAAAAACACAAATCTCGCCATCAGGGTCACTCGTCACACAGGATGGCACATGATGAGAAGCTCCATGATGCTGAATTTAGAGATGATCATAGAAGGGGTGAGGCAAGACACTGCAGAAGGGCAGGACACAGGACACGTTCCCCCTCCCCACATGCTGTGACCCAGGGGAAGGCTGGAGGCTGCCAGCGAGACTCAGGTAACCAAGTGATGGGGAAAGTGTATGTGTGTATGGGGATGTATGTGCCCCATACTGGTATCTGAAATATGTGTCACTTCTGTTGAAGATGCTTGTCTCCAATATTTACCTGCAGTGTGTACACAGTTAATCCTGTTCAGGTTTCTCCCTGATTTAGTGGGATTCTTTTTAGCCATAAACGTTCTTGCTCTGTTTATGTCCTGATGTTCCATGGCATTGGAGAGGATGAGTAAAAAGGTATTGTTGGGAATGGTTCCCTTGGTATCCTGTGTTTTAAGAAAAAAACTCTCCTCCCTCCCCCACCCCCCCAAAAAACCCAAATCAACCAACTAACCAACTACCAGCTTTTGTTTTCATGATACATTTTGTGCAGTGGTTTGGTTGCACAGAAGAAAAAAAAACTAACAAGACCCCAAATGTTAGGATTGTGTTATTGTATTTTGTTGAGATGCAGAACTGTAAGTGAGAACACTTTACTAAAGCACTAAAAAACCCAGAAATTTTCATCCACTTCTTATTGAAAACCCTGCTGGCAACTTAATTCAATTTGGGCAAAGTTCAGTAGTGGCATTGGGTGTCCAGCTGTTTGTAAGATGGGGTTCTAGCCAAATTCTGTACAAGTGGAGTTTTCTGGGAAATTTGTACCTGTGTAGTTCTTGTTCAATAATATTTGGGGACTGGGGTCTTTAGAGATCCAGAACCATCTTTCTGCTTTTCAAACCACTGGAAGTAGGGGTAACCTAGTGAAAGTAGGAGACTTGGATCTATGTCTGTAACAATGTGAGGAAACTTATGCTTAAAGCCATTATAGCTGATCTTCCTACAGATAAGGTGAGGATGATAATGGGTGTCTGTCTCTGGAGATACTGGGACAATTATTCTTCCTCCTCATAGTATGAAAACCTTCCTTGGGGAAGTGGAAGGTGTTAATCAGGTTTATCTTTAAAATAACAAAACTCTATACTCAAAGCAAGAACTGAATATTATATGAACTTTAAGTGTGCTTACTTGGCTGTTTCTTGTTGAATTGTAAAATTCATTGGTCATCCCAAGGAAGACATAGTCTGAAATCTCATGTGAGCCTGTCCCATGCTGGTCTAGCAGTGTGTTCAGACTGCTCTACTCATAACAGATGTTGGGCTGCTCTCTGCTGCCCAGTTTTGCCAGTGTATCTGTATGGATGCAGAGTGTGACAATTCTTTTGTTAGCCTCATTGTCATCAAAGACTTCAAGGGACATGGTCTCTTCTGCCATATAGTTGCATTTGTCATAAGGCATGGTGTATCAGCTATTTTTGTGTGCACAGAGAAACCTTCCTAAGGTGTGTGCTGCAGCTCAGCTAAAGGTGCTCTCAAATCAGCTGTGTGGCAGGTACAACGTCGTCGTGGTCTCTGGTTCTCTTGAGGGGGAGCTGAAGAGGATGTGGATATCTCCTTACCAAAGCATGTGGAGAATGGTTGAGTTGATTGTTTTCTCTCACAATTCTGTAGGCACTAATTTGAGGGGGCTGAAACAAGCCATGTATGATGCACCCCGAATGGAACAGGAGTTGTCTGATGCAGAGATTGCTCGGAAGCTGCAGGAGGAAGAGCTCCTGGTAAGTAGAGGGGATGCATTAGACAACTTGAAGGAACTAAGGTAGGTAGCAATGACTACTTTAATTTGTAAAGCTTTTTTATATGAGAGTGACTTTAAGACCCAAAATGCTACTGCACTTTCTGGTAATTATCTTTGTCTTCCATACACACATATGGAGTGGCAGCTGGCATCCAGCCAATAAAGACCTATTTTTTTAAATAAACACCCCAAAATTAAATTATTGAAGCAGAGTGATATTAAATGAATGTTTCCAGGCAGGTGAAGATGGCTTATAGTCAGTGTGGCCACCCCAGAAGTGCCCATCTTTGAGAAGAGAGGGCAGCAGAGTGGGAAATCCATTGTAGTGTTCCTTAGCAGATACAAGAGGACAAAATTCAGCCGAAAAGCTGAACTAACAGTTTGGTGTTGGGTTGTAAGTATTGAGGTAGCTAACTATATGTGGAGAGGATGGTTGTGTATTTGTATGGGCATCTACTTGCCCTGCTGGTAGACTAATGAGTGTGACTAATTCAGAGATGTTACTCTTTTGTCTCTGCTTTTTCTTCCCCCATCTATTTCTTCCCAGGCTAATGAGGCAGATCAGAAGGCAGCTCAAGTAGCCCAAGATGAGGTGAGCAACAAGTAAAATATTTGTGGAATTCCTTTGCTTGTGGAAGCTGCCAAACACCACTTGTTCCCTCTGACCCTCTAGTTGTTCATTTCTCTCCTTGTAGGGGAAGCTTGGAGCTCTAGTGGGGTTTGCTCCTACCTGAGTTTCATGTATATGCTCATGTATAAGCAGAGTTCCACGGCCTGTTGCAGCCATGACAAAGGAAGGAAGTTCATGGTTCTGTAAGAGCATTTCTTTTCTGAGCCTCAAGGGAGACTATGCAAGATGCTGTGAGATGAACCACCTCCCCCATTAAGGAAAAGGAATAGGGGGCAGAAAGGCTCTGCGAATGCAGTTCTGGCAAATCAGCGATCTACTGGGCCTGCTGCATGATGTCTGTCTTAATTTTGCCCTGTCACTTGATTTCTGATCACGGATGGGTGAAATCCTAGATTTGCACCCTTCCCATTCAGCAGCTGTCCATGGGAAAGTTATTCAAACCCACAAGAGCGATAAAAGTGTCTGAGGCACTGTCTGTATTTTCCCTTCTAGGAAATCGCTCGACTCTTGATGGCTGAGGAGAAAAAGGCTTTAAGGAAAGAGAGAGAAAAGTCTTCCTTTGAAAAGAGGAGGCATGATCAAGATTGGAAGGTATGTCAAGCTTCAGGAGGCACCACAGATAAGGTACTATAATGTTATTCCCATTCCCAAAGGGTCTTACTGTCTATTATTCAGCTGCTTCCCAAGCCTTTTGAAGCTGCCTCCTTGGTTAGATGCTTTTGGCATCTGGCCTGAGAGATTGGCACTAGATGTCACAGCACTTTGTGGCCTTCCTGAAGCACTCTCAGCCCTCCCGGTGCAGGACCTTCCCTCTGCTGGAATCCTGACTGTAGCAATGAAAGCCGTAGTTGGTTCTGTTTGTATAAGGGCAATGCAGACGCTTTGGTTGTCACTCTGCCTCATAATAAAATTAGCTGTGTAATGAAAGTACAGAGTCTATTGTGAGTAAGTTTTTGCATGAGTGATACCAGAAAGGCTTGGCTAGCCAACATGGGGGAGGATAGGAAACAGATTTCATGGTCTGCACTGGTAAGGTGCTAAAGGGGATGTTGTGTTAATCCTGGGGCCAGATGGAGGTAGCTCTTATGTTTTCAGCCTCCTTACTGTGTTTAAGTGGTTGCAGGAGCACAACTGCATGCAGCTGGTCCCTTGTGCTCATCCCAGCCATGTGCACAGTCATTACACACTGTGTTTGACCCCAGCTTCAGGACGGTCCCCCAGAGCTGTCACGTATTTGGTGCAAAAATTGAGTTTGGCTCAGCGAGGCTTAGTTTTGTTTACTGGAAACTAGTCCTGGTATTGCCATTTGCATGTCTGGCTGTAGTTAATCGTGTGTACAAACCAAGCACGAAAGGACTGTGTGGAACTGTGTCAGGCTCAGTGCACTGGTGGGTTTCTTGCAAGGCACACAGATGAACAGATCTCCCTCCTTCCCATCAGCCTGATGCAGGAGAGTCCACGCGCTCAAGGTCAAGAGAAGGGCCTGAAACTCAGCGACACAGAAACGACAGGTCTTCAAGGTGAGCTTGAACTGACAAGCAAAAATGGGGAGGTGCAAGTGGGAAGCTGCTGAGAAGCTAAATCTTAGGGAGAAGTAGTGGGATGACCAGCCTGACCCACCCAAGAGGGAATTGGTGGGGAGTAGAGGTTTTAGCACTGAAAAGAGATGGAGGGCGCAGAGCACATGAGGTATTCAGTGACATGCGTCACTCACTCTGCTCATGGCATTTGTCCATATTTGTCTCCATGCCTTGTACTGACAGAGATTGATGAGCTTGTGCAATGACATTTGTTAAATGGCAGAGAAACACTGAGAGGGTTAAAGGGCTTCTGGGAATGTGAAAACAAATGTCATCTCTGGGCAGGAAGGAGTAATCACCATGCATTTGCACAGCTGCTCCGTTGGGTCTTTGCTCCCAGTTAAGCCCTGTACACAGCTCCCACTGCTGCATGTGAACAACCCCTGCAAGCAAGTGCATTGTGCTTTGGGGTGCCTGATCCTAAACTGGTAACATGCTGTAGCCCCTTGTTACTTCTAAATCTCTTGATACTATCTCAATTCCCCTCATGAGGGACTGGGCTCTGGAAGTGACCCCAGCGCCTTTGATTTCCATTCCGTGAAGGAGCCTAGAAATTCTTGTTGAATATTGCAAAAGAAACAGTGGATAAGGTGTTCAGGTGGAGATTGAAGAGAGATCGTATTAAAATTCTGTGGGGCTAAAACTGGGCAAGCATTAAACACTTCAAAATGTTGCTCTTTTGAGTGAGGTTTGCATAAGTCTTCATGATGGAAATTCTTCATTTCCTGACAACTTAAAAACATTATTAAATGATAGAGGTCCAGGAGAAGCAGTAAATATTGTGCATTTCTCACTGCAGAGACAGTAAGGGGCTGTGCTCAGAGGAGCTGCTCTGCAGGAGGGAAATCTAGGCCCGGCACAGTTTGCATCAAACTGACAGTGACAGACCAGACAGCTGAGATGTTGTTTTTGACACACTGTTATGCCTTTGAGCTATTTCCCATCACTCCTTTTACCCTGTGCTTGGCAGGTCACAGCCTCTCCTGGACGACTTTGAACACTCTCGGTATTACACAAGCCAGCCCAGCCCCTTGCGCCAGATCCCCAAACCTGAGCACTCTCCTAAAGGTAGGATCAGTCAATCCCAGGGCTGCCCCAGCACTTGGGTTGTTGTGAGCTGCTTTCCTCAAACAAGTAGCCTGCAGGAAAGAGTATTGGAAAGCGATGCTAATAGCAAAGAGCAATGGGTATTACTACCCCAGCAGGCGGGAGTAATGCTGGTCAGTGTTTGGGCTGTACTTGCTGAGCACGTTGCAGGCTGAGACTAAAAAGCTCAATTGATTTGCCTGGGGTTTGTCAAACTGTTGTCTGCATGTGCTCTATGATCTCTTAATGATGAATGACTGTAAATCCAGGAAGTAAATGACGGAGAAATGACACTAAGACAATGACATGATGGATTTTAGGTGACTCACTAGTATCAAATAATCCAAGACAATCTCGCATTATCACCTGGCTGGCGGGTGGATGGGATGATCAGACAGCAGCCTGTTCTGAGGACAGGCTTATTTTGTTCCTGTGGCATCTCAGCACTGCTTTGTTGGCTTGTTTCCTGAAATCACTGGGCACAGAGCAGTGTGGTTAAGGTCACCCTTGGAGATTTTTAACTCACACAATTGGCATTCAGACTTTTCTGTAGAGTCTCTGGAGAAGGAAAAGGGCAGTCAGAGTTTAACTCAGTCTCTCAGGTTTCATTGAGCCTCCACTATTGTGACTTACATGTGGACACTTTCCTTTCTGAAATTTAAAAGTTTGGGGAAGTTGTGTTCTGTTTTCATCAAGTAAGCTGCAAAGTTAATGGCACTTAGATGAGTCTGTAAGCCCAGTGTTCATTCAGTTTTCTTTAGTAAGAGACTGAAGTGGGGCTGCAGCACCATTCACTCCTTAGAAGAAATGTGAATGTTTGCCTGTCTTGTGATCTATCCTTCCTTTTGCTTCGGAAATGAAATATATGGTTCCCATTTTGGCCTTTGACTTTACCAGTCCCTGGGAAGTCAGCCAAATGGACAAGATGGCAGGACAAGTACAATACAACAGCAGGACAAGTAAAATAGAACTGCAGGTAGTAGTTTCTTCACCAGGATGTAGCCTCACCGATTTTTTTTTCTTTGTTTTGTTTTCCAGGTTCCCGTAGGAAGCAGTAAACTGTGCTAGCCTTTGCTTTCGTACTGACTCTTCTGTAGCAAATATTACTGGAATTGCCAGGCAACTTCCTTGATTCCTGACCCGATGGGAGGCCCACCCTCCACTCCCAGGATCATCTCTTTAAGTGTCATCATATTAAGGAAAATTACTTGTTTCAGTTTCTTACTCATGTGTGATGACTGAAGCAGTGCAGTATAATCTAGCTGCCACTGAGCTGTGCAAATCAACCAGCTGGCTTAACAGCTCCTTCATACATCCTTTTGAGGCTTTCCTTCTATTTTTATTTTTAATCTTTGGCTAGAGCTTAGACAAATAGGACAAATTGAGATGCATGTACGATGGAGAAAAATTGAAGAAGTGAGTTGGGTTATGGCAATACAGTGAAACATCAGAAGTACAAGTCCTTTCTGTATTAAGATGGCTTAGCAAAAAGAGTTGTAAGAGGAAATGTGTTTGTTCCTGTGTTGGATAAGACAACTGACCCAACCTTACAGTCATACTAGGAAGGAGAGTGCATCTTCAAACGTACACCAGCAAAGGCCAGACCCTGGGACCGGAGACAAAGAAATTGCCTATGGAACAGAATTAAACTGCTGTATTTCTTTCTAGGGTTTCCAAAAATCTGGATAGAGTGTGTATCTAGGCATTTAGCTCCAGATATAGGATAGAACAGTTAAAAGGAAGACAGTTTCAACTGAAATTAGACCTTGTGTGCATGCTAGGGAGTTCAGGAAGCTGTGAGTTTTGATTTGGGAACTCATACATGTCTGAATGGACCTCTGTGGTCACCTACTTTGAGCTTCAGTGTTGTAGAAGCCAAGGAATTTCACCTAAGCCAAGTAGGGTCTTCTGTAACTCCTAGCTTGGTTGCTGATGCACTTGAGTACAGTACTTGTATCTGAACCTGCATATGTCTTGGAAACATGGGGCTGAAAGAGGGCCGTATAGGCATTGAATTCAAAATCTGCAGTTACAGATAACTTGAGCTAGTACTGAATGGTCCGCACCATGTCTGTGCTGACTGCCTTCTCTCTACAGTGCTCCATCCAGCACCCCAGGCAGACTCCAGTCAGGAATAAAAAAATTATTGCTCTCTAGGGCTTAGCAGGGTCCACAGGTTTATTGTCTGTATAGATTTGCCCATGCAGTGCTTTGATGGCTTTCCTCTCTTTGAAAACCATTTTTCTCTTGTACAGCCTTTTATTTTGGCCTCTTCTCATTTAAATTCTTTTGTCTTTTTAATAATTTTTTTGCTTTTATTTTCAGGTGTATTTTTAAACTACAAAGCTGAACATTTCGACACTGGCTTTGGAGTCTGTTCAGCTGGTACAGGCAGGTTGTTCATGTGCCAGTCCAGTACACAGCAGTGAATTTGGCTGCCTTGCCCCTACAGCCCATCTTCCTTAGGGCCCAGCACTGAGTCTTGTCCTGCCATTCTCTTTGTTGTCTGCCAGCAGCTGCAGTTCTGCTGCTGACTCTGCAGAGGAGGGGAGACAGAGCTGTGACTTTACTTGCCCTCACCACTGATCTGCCTGGGGAGGGAGCCTTGACAGCTCTCTGGACCCATAAACTGGAAGAGAGCATGGCTGGCTGCTGTTTCTCTAGTGCACAATTCAAGTCCTAAGGCAGCTGTAAGGCTTTAGCCTTGGCTGTTGTCCTTGGTAGGATAGTCACTGGGCCAAATCTCTGGAAAGACAGGCCAGGGTTTTTTTTGCATAAGTTGGAGGGGCAAGTTTAATGCTGCAGCACAAACCCATGTCTTCCCTTGACCAACAGCTTGAGAAACTTCCATCTCTTACCCCCTCCCTGCATACCCTTGCTTCCAGACTGGGAGCTTATTTGCCTCCATGAGTTCTTAAGTGACTTACAAGGTCTTGCTTGCTGCTGCTTCTCAGGAAATATCCCAGCCAGCAGCTAGATTTTACTGTCCTTACCTTGTTTTCTCTTCTCATTGTGTCTCTGTTCATTCAGAAATGATAACATTGTTTAAAAGGATCCAGAAAAATAACAACATAGATCCTGGTTTTCCTTTTTTTTTTGTTTATTTGATAACTTGGCCCAGTGTGGCAAACTCATCTACTGAGATTTTATTTTATAAAAATTTATTTTTGTATTTCATATAACAGTCAAAATTTCTGCTGTTGAAAATGCCATTTCTTTTTTTCCTGTGGGCTTTTTCCCTCCGCTGCCATCAGAGTAATTATTGTTGTGAAATGAATGCCTGGTACAGTTTTATGAATTAACACTTCCTACAAACAGCACTGCTACTTGTGTCACCTGGTGCACTTGTGACAAATGGATGGGGAAAAGTCCTGCCAAATCAGGAAGTGGTTGAGCTTTGTACTTGCTGTGCTTGTGGAAAATGGGTGACCCCTTGCAAAAGGCAAAGGGAAATTGCCAGCCAGGAATTCAGCCCTCTATGGGCCTCTCTACCTGGCTATGATGGACTCTCTTGCATTGCAGTTGGCTGATGTAACTCTTGTCTTACCCTAATTAGAAAAGTCACGAAGACCCTGAGCCCCTGACATTTGAAAAACCTGTTAATTCAGAAGGGATGCTTGGTGGTATCCAAGTTGTTGACTTCAATGGGAGTGAGTAGAAATGATGTGAGAGAAGACTCTGGTTGATTTAGTTTGGAAGCTGGGTAGAGTCTGAAGAACACCTCAGTGCCTGCTCTGTGGAGCTGCAGGATCTTCTTAATGGCCTCCTTGGGCCAGTCAAACTCTCCAACCATGGCACCAAAAGACAAAGAGCCCAAGGGAAGGAGCATCTGCTGCTTCCTTGGATGCCTTTAGGAAGTGCTGAATGCTTTATGGGCTGTTTTGCTCTGTATCCTCCCTTCATCCATATCTTTTTATTCTTACTCTCTACCTTTATTCATGCGCTGTCCCTTTTAAGTGTTTCTCCTGTCTTAATTTTCCGTAGCCCTTGTGGAAAGGGGGACCCTAAGGTTTTGTTAGAAGGGGCTGACACCTATTGAGAGAGAGAAATGCTAGAAATGGTAGCTGAGGAAAGCAGATAGTGAATAGAGTATAAACAGAGCAATTGTTCATCTGATATATGCTGGGGTTCTGATACAGTCATACAGGTTAGAGACTTCTTGAGGCAAAGGTTGCAACTGGACTTATGTGTTTAGTAACCCCTTTTGGAAGGGAATTCCATGGTCCCACTGAAGTCAAAAAGAGTTAAGATCATGGTTGAACAAAGAGCCAATTCCTCTTGGGGCTCAGCAGCCATTGTTCTGCTGAGAGCCAAGAAGGTGCAGCTGGTGTAGGTGAGATGCACCTGGTACATGGGTCCCTGGAAAGAGGCACAATGAAGCTGATTTTTTAATGAAGAAACAGAGCAATATTTCCTTCCGATGACAGAGAAGTGTTTCAGTATATTTATTTTTTCCTTATTTTCTCTTGCCAAGTTTTAGTAGCTTTGCCTATGGGTTTGCTCCAGATTTAGTAGGATGTAGGAGTCCCTGCTGGGACCCCTGCCCGGGTTGTTCAGGTCTTGTATCCTTTTCTCACTCTGTGCATTAACAAGGCATCAGGCACCACGTGGAAAATTCATTTCCATGAAATCCTGGTACTTCCTAATCTTCGTAGCTGGCACATCTCAGGCACAAGAGCTCTCACCACCTCCTTGCCTCCGTCCAAAGCACAATGTCTGCCGAAGAGGGGTTGGGTGAAGCGGAGGGATCGTGCCTTACCCGCAGGGATACTCAATGTCTTCAGCAGGCTGATCTGAGTCGCCTTGCTATGAAACTCTGTCTTAATCTGGACTGTACAGCTTCCTGCAGCAAGAAGCAGTTGTTGTCACGTGGATAGATCCAACAGGTTAATTTCATCTTTTTTTTAAAAAAGAATTTTATGGTTTTGAACTTGGCGGGGTGAGAAAATATCAGCTCTTAGGGGATAAATGAAGTCTCATCGTTGAATTTCTCCTCTTGGGGAGGAAGGATAGAAGTTACAGATGCTGCAGTCTGCTTCACTCTATAAAAGGGATCTTGTATGTACAGTATTTTTATATCTCTGCATTCCCACCAATCAGGATTTGATTCAGAATTGATTACATACTCTGCTTATGGGAAAAAATGGATTGTTATTTTTACAGTCCTAGACATTTTTGTGTTTATTTTGTGCCAAATTACACCCACTGTTACATTCTAGTATTTTCATTCAGTTTATTGATGTGGATCAATGTGTATATTATATATTTTTATTATCAAGGTTTTTATTTTAATTCATATTATCCTATATACAAACTAACTGTGGATTGCTAATTTATATATATAAAGGGGAGCACTTGGAGACAGTGTGAGGATTCCCCTACTTAGTTTACACTCTTGTAAGTTAGCACAGCCAGTCCATGATACTCGTTTCTTCTTGCACAGCACAATCTCCTGGGTGTCTGTCCCCCTGAGCAGATGGCTCCTTCTGTCCTTCACAGCAGCACTGTCACTGCAGGACTGTGTGAGATGCAATGGGAACCAAAGCACGGCTCGTAGCAGGGACTGATGGGCAGCTGAGCTCAGTGCTATCCAACTCCTGGCAGTGATGCCAGGAAGGGTGCTGCTTTGAAGTTTACTCTGCTCTGTATCCATCTCCAGCTGATGAACAGTTGGTTTTGCCCTACTCTCCCAAGATATTCAGGGCTTAGTTTTGCAGTTGCTTTGGGAGGTGGGTGTGGGACATAGGGCTGAGGCACAGTGGTGTCCCTCACATGAAGTACACCACAGGCAGCTTGTCTTATGTTTGTTGCAGAGGACAGGCATAAACCTATAGAGATGCCGGTTTACTGTACTCCTTAAATGTGCTGTAGCACATTTGTGGCTGTGCAGCACTGCTGTGGAGGCACTGGCTCTGCTGCACACGTGTGTGCCCCTTGGACTGCTGTGCCCAGAACGGGCTGTGGGACATGTGTTTCATGTTGAGAAAGCTGTCCTAACGTCAGCATCTGGGCTGGAGATATATCAGCCACCTCCTCCCCATCAGTAGCACAGGGCAAAGCTTAGCTGTGCAGTTTGGGCTCTTACAGGAGAGTTCCAGAGAGGACAGTGACACACACAAATGAGTATTTTCTACTTCATGGTAAACAAGTTCCACTGTATCAGTGTTCACTCTAAGTAGACTCCATGGTCTGTCTCCAGCTGCATCTGTGCACTGCAATATAGTTAATTGCCTCAGAGAAATAACTGCAGTTGTCTCATTTAGCTCTTCAGGGTAAACTTTCAGTCTGTTGAATCTAAATATTAGCCATGCGATGAGGTGGATTAGTCAGAAGGCTTAAATTCCTCAGAGCTGCAAGTGTACCCTGGGTTGTAACAGCTAATCCTTAAATATAAATTGCGCACTGACAATAATCCGTCTATGCAAGCCTATTTTTATTTTTATTTTCGACTGTTCACTCTATAATTTTATCAGGTTTGGCGTAGAACTTCTGAATGACATTTAACCAAAGTATCATGTCTGTCTGTGAGTGCGTGTGTATAGCATGTTTTGCTTCATACTCCTGAATTCTCATTGAATGTACAGGGAACATTGCCTTGCCCCATTTTGTTCAATAAACCGCTGTATTTTGTTACCCACCACATCCTTCTGTCCCTCCGTGTGCTTTTCTGGAAACACTGAAGTGGGTTACACAAAAGCAGGAGAAAACAACACTTTGTTCCACGCTTTGTTCTGAAGCTCAGCTGCTTCTACCAATAATTATGTTCTTCCACTGTAATAGATGTAGCAAACAAACAAATTTGTATTTAATTTGATTATTTTGTGGACAGACAGATGGAAAAAAGGCTATGTAATATCTTGGAAGGGATCTGGACTGTTTCATTTCCTGAGACTGTGATACTGAAAAATAAAGCAGTATAATTATTTGTAAGGATAGGATGCTTTTTCTTATTTAATTAAGATAGCTTTTAAGTTTGCAAAAAGCCTGCTTGAAGATTCCCACAAACAACTTGTACCTACAGTGATGGAATAGAAGGCAAGAAGGAAACATGGCAAGCACCCTGTGTCTGACTGCTGTCTTCAAAGGCATCAGCTGAGGATGCAGCCACAAACAGCTCAAATGTGATCTGAAGCCGCTGTCATGTCACAAACTCAGTTTGTCACTGAACGTGCTAAAATAAAGGGGAGGTTACAAAATACAAACTGG